GCTTGCACCTGGCACGGGCACCGTAGCCAGACCGTGCCCCTTTAAGGACTCCGGGGCCGGGAGGGGGGCAGACGAGTTTCCCTGGTGGTGCCCAGAGTGGCCACCAGGGCAAGCTGGGGAGGGCTAGCCTCCACTAGTTTGAATTAAGTGGCTACACAGCCTTTAATTCAAACTACTTAATTCGAACTAGGCGTTAGTCCTCGTAGAATGAGGTTTACCTAGTCTGAATTAAGTGCTCCGCTAGTTCGAATTAAGTTAGAACTAGCGGTTTGCCTGTGTAGCGTCTATTAAAGTTAATTCAAACTAACAGCTGTTAGTTCGAATTAACTTTGTAGTGTAGACTGATTAATTTGTCTCTCTCCTATAACCACTGATTTGTGAGTACGTGTATTGGCTTCAGCTAGGTTATTTCTCTTCTTACCATTGCAAGCAGTGATTTCCTTTGTTGGAGCATCAAGATGTTAACATTATTGTCCATTCCAAAACATGGGACCAAACAGGTGCATGCAATGCAAAAAGCCCCTCTACTGGAAATTTACAGTACCTCTTGCTCTTTAATGCATACTAAAGGGATGCTACACCACATATTTACTGGCATTACATCAATCATCTGCTTTCCTATGGGAGCTTTGAATAACATGTTCTCTCCCCTGAAACAGAAACAGTATAAAAATGATTCAGTGGCAAACTGGCAATGTTGTCTGTATGTATAATTATACACACTGTAGCTACGGGATACCCGCTGAGGCATTCATGGGCAAAACAGGGGGAAAAACAATTATTCCACTGGAGGCTCCACACGAAAATAGAACAAGCCATAGAGAGAAAACAGCTGCCGATGTCATGATTGACACAACTGGAGGCATGACAATTTGGAGACAAGTTCTGTCTTTCATTTTCAATAGAGTTATTTCTTGTGGTGAAATGACAATCTTATAGAAATGGCAGCCCTTAAAATAGAGAATACCAATCTCTGGTACTATTGGGCTTTAATCCCTCATCACAGAGAATGAGTTTCCAAAATAAATAGCATTTTAGTGATAACTTCTGCCTACATCAAAGTCGCAATAACAATTATATACAAAACCATGCAAAAAACCCATAACTCAGTAGCTCCAGCTGCACGCATGTGACAAAATTAAACCATTTTCATGTTTTTTTTGCAAAAATATTTGCTCTAAAAAACATCAAATGCTTTTTTGCAAGATCCCAATTTCTCAAACATTTCTTACACAATTTTAAGTTAGTCAAAAAAATTGCTTCTTTTTTCATGAAGCCATGCGGACAACACATGATTTCTTTTCTACTTGCCAAATTGTCAAGAGAGTAAAAATTGTATGTTCAGTTAACTTTCAACAGCTGAAATTAAGGAGCAACCAACATATTAAAAAATAGAATTACCTTTCTAAGGGTGTGTCTAGACTACATGCCTCCTTCGACGGAGGCATGTAGATTAGCCAGATCGGAAGGGGGGAATGAGGCCGCGATTAAAATAATCGCGGCTTCATTTAAATTTAAATGGCTGCCCCGATCTGCCGATCAGCTGTTTGTCGGCAGATCGGGGGAGTCTGGACGCGATGCCCCGACAAAGAAGCCTTTCTTCATCGACACAGGTAAGCCTGGTTTTTGAAACATATTAACAGGATCTGAAGTGTGCAAGCATGAGGGACCTCTGAAGGAGCAGTGCTTATCCTACACAAAGGCTAATGACGAGACCCTGAGAGATCCTGACAGCCTTTGGTGAGGAACCCCATCAGAAGATTCCAGCCCCTCAGACAAGATGCTAGCCTTAGTGAGATTAATTGTCTTGTTATGAGGCAAATACTGAGTTTTGTAAGAAAATGTGTTGCTGTCAGGAAAAAAATATGACCTTATTTCCTATATTATGAATGTATTCATGCTTTGCACTCATTTATAGCATCTACCCTAAGGCTACTGAATTCTATTAATATTTATTTGATAGCATGAGTTTAATATTTTACGCATATTATTATAAGCCATAGATGAGAGAGAGAAAATGACCTATTGATAAAATATCACCTTAACATAGACATTAATGGATTTAAGAAAAGAGAGAATTTTTAAAAGAGCCTGATAGAGTAATCTCCAGGTCCTATAACATACTGGCAATGTGAAAAATAACTGATCCTGTGAGTAAGAGGTTATCAACAATAGATGCTTTTGTTAAAACTCCAAATGCTTTGTGTGTTTTCTGGTCTTAGCGGCACAAGTAACGTGGATAAATGAGAGAAAGGTGCCTCTTTTGGTTAGAACATTGAGCGAGGATTCATTCCTACCCATTCTGCTGTGAGCAGGCTACTTCAAGGCTGAAGAGGAAAGAGAAAGAATTGCCTGTTGCAGACTAATCCTGAGGAGTGTAAGAGGGCTTTATTCCATGGGGAAATGAGACAGAGCTGAGAGAGAACATTTTCAGTTTGAACCAGCCCTGGCTGCTAACACAAAGTGTGAGGAAATGTAGCAGTTATGGCTTGCTGATTCCTTACTAAATGAGGTTTGGCACAGCACATACATAGAGTCCATGAATATGCTGGTCTCAGTACTTGCTCTGGTCTACTCACACTTCTCTTTCCACAAGGAGCTGCAGAGAACTTGGACAACGGGGATCTTCTCTATGGAATGGGTGGGGGAGCATCTCATTACTGCTGTCTTCTGTACATCCATTGTACCCTCACAATGTAGCACTCTGTAACATTGAACTCGCCACATTTATAAGACATTACCAGGGAGAAGATAGCTAACCAGTTCCAGACACCAAGCATTACTACGGGCAGATGAACCCGTTGAGTCATGCAGGCCTATGGCATAAAGGCGGGAGGAAGGAATGGAATGCTGCCTGTCATTCCATCTCTTCACTGTGTGAACACATTGCAGCGTGCAGAATAGAAGCAGGCCACCATGTGTCTATTTTACTCACAACTTCCTGGCTACAGTAGGCCATGGAGTAAGCTCAGAAAGTTGGCTGATTAATGAGCGCCAGCATATTGCACGATGCCTCATAACTTTGAAAGCCAGGTACTGGATTTTCTCAGGCATGCCTGGAAGCTCATTTTCTGAGGCTAAAGAGCACCACATGTCAGTAGATGGGACTAAGCCATATGCTGCTAAAAAGGAAAGTGCAGATGAAAGATAAAGCACGGGAAGAAATCTGCATCCTGGTGTTCGGGTTATAATTTTAAAACAAAAATTTAGCTATTGTACTCATACTGTAACAATAAAATGCAAACTGCTGCTGTTTCTGTTCAACAATTACAGCCATTATTAAGTGATTCATTTTAGGCCCTGCAGTTAAAAGCAACCCAGGAAGTCGAAATTGCTCTCTGGTGCTGCAAAGAAAATGTAGTTAGGCAGCAGAGAAAGACCATCTGGATCTAACTCCTTCCCTGACCATAGTTTTCAGCATGTCTCTATGTAAAGAAAATGAAAGGCAACTTTGTAGAATACCACTACAGACTGTAGAGCCTGGGCCTGTAACTAAATAACATGATTTCCCACAACATTACGATAACAGCCTTTTTTGTAGGCACCTCCATTTTGCTAAGAGCTGGGGGTTAAATGAAGAGACACACTTGGAAAGTCTACCTGAATATTACACTTTCTGGCAGCACTACTATTGCAGCATAAATGTATATTAATCCTGCTATTATCTGGGTTGTGCTGAGCATAGTGAAGAGAGTCATTAATAAACTGCTGAGCTATCTGTCATTACAGATGTTTTGATCCAGCTGGGAACTCAGATCAGAGTAAGACTAGAGCTAGACAAAGCAATATATATTATGCTACCTTGCACATGGTGCTATGTTAAAGATGAAAGTGTTTTATTTAGGTCAGGCTCCATTTCCCTGGAGACAGAAGACCAGCCTTCTACAAATTAAGATCATTGTTGGGTCTTATTCCAGCAATCCAGTAGACTACAAAATTTCAATTACGGGGATGTTTATGCTTCTGTCTAGTCTTGTCTTTCAACGTGATTTTCAGCAGTTAACATCCACAAGGATTAAACAGACCAGACAGGCTAGTATATCACTTGAGAGCACTGGGGCCATATTCTGTCACACAGATTACCATCAAAGTCTCATAGGTTTGGTTGATCAAACTCTTTGTTCTCTCATAGAAACTATGAGTCATTCAGTTAAAAATCAGTGTCACTAATTTTAAAACTCAGCATGCAACATTGAGCTGAGAAATCTGGCTCTACGAATGCACTCAGGCTCTCTCTCCCTAAGCATGCAGAGACTGGTTTAATCAAAGGCAGAATGCTCACATCTCTCCCCTAGCACTCCCTGACAGTGGAGGGAACTGGGTCTTGACAAGGGCCATTCCACTCCTTCTTCTGCAATAATGCTTTCTCTCTGGCAAGTGGAAAGAAAAGATTTTCAAAAAGTTAGAGGTGGAAAATAAGTGGTTTTGTACTATGGCTCAGCCTGGACATATTACCTGAAAATATTTTCCCATTATTTACAGAAATTTGTCCTTGTCTTTATTGTATATCTTTATTCAGTGACCTGACACCCACAAAACACAAACTTCAGTGTGATCACAGCTAATGTTTCAGTAGCAGTGTTTGTAAATTTAATTTTGTAACACAAGTGGGACCTTTTTTTTCCCATTTGTCCAAATATGTAAGTCAGAAGAATCTCTTTTTTACCTGTAACAAAAATCTGAGAGAATATTTTAAATTGAGCAAAGTTGCTTTTTTCAGGATGCTTTTTATTCATGAGGGGAGGCAGAAAGAGATACAGAAATCACGAGGAGTATTGCAAATGATAAATAAATGATGGAAGAAGAAAATTCAAGCAATTATGCGTACTCAGTACACCATGAATATCTTAACTCCTCAGCAAAAGCAGAGGAAAGACAACTGACATATGCTATCTCCAAAGTGATCTCCCCAATTTAAATAAGCAGCTGAATCTAGAAGAATCTTCCCCATTAGATTTTTAAGAAGCTAACCTCCCAATAGGTGACTGTATTATTACTGGGCAGGGACATTTTTTTCAGGCTTCATCATAGCAACTACCTCTTCCAGCTATGTGAAATAACATCAAGTTTGTATCCTCCCCTCCCCAGCTACATTTCCGCTACATTTCATCCTGTCTCTCTTGCACACAACCCATTGATGTAGGACTCTATGGCTATGTCTAGACTGCAGCTCTTTCAGAGCAGGTTTTTCAGAAATGTGGCACCATGTAGACACACCAAATTTTGGAAAAGCCTCTTTCAAAAGAAAAGCGGAAAATGATATGCAAATTAAGGTTCACAATTTGCATCTTTTTCTGACTTACCTTTGTAGTGTAGATGTAGCCTCAGGCTGGCTTGGTGTATTACATAATCACAATGATGGGCAGAAATTATATAGCTCTCTAACATACTATCTCTCCTAACCTTTGTCTGCTTCCTCACATATGATGTGGGGCAAATCACATTTTATAAGAACAGATCATCAGTGCTTGTTGTATATTTCATTTCCTTACCCTGATCCCAAGCTCCACATTTTCTCCTCCATAGACCTCCATGCCTTCATCTAGCAAGCCAATCTCTTGGAAGTATTCCCTGTCTACTATGAAGCATCCAATCAGTGCAGGGCTTCTGCATGAATACAACAGAACAATGGAAAACAAGAGTTAGAGAGCATGTAAGCAACTTCCTTTGTCATTGCCGTTCTGACTGTAGTTAGTATCACTGGGCAACACCATGTGTAACACCATGGATTGCAATGGAATTACACCCAACATGGATGTGGCCAATTTTGTCTTATTGTGTGATCTGTTTTTTAAAGCAAATGGAGTGCCAGACTGACAATATTGGAAACTGAAACCCCCAGTACAGCATGAACAACAAGACTGATTCTCCCTGCTGTGCTTCCTTATGTGTCCCAGCTCTATTTTGGAGACACCGGCTGTAGTGAGAAGAGGCTGCACAGACTTTAGTGCCACTCAGCTCTTGTGGGTCTCGGTGTAGACTGCTAACAAGAGTACCAATTAGTGCAAATTTTGCCCTTTATGAAGGACAGCACTTAACCACATGCTTAATTCCATCCCCTGGTCAGGAAAGCATTTAAGTATGTGCCTAAGTTTAAGCTTAAACTAAGCATGTGCTTATAAGACCTCAGTGAATGGGGATGTTTTCACGAGGCAAGGCCTTTTTTGGCTTTTGTAATGTGAACACAATTCCTTTTATTGACATGCTGTAAAATATTCATGTCTTTCAGCCACTGCTAATCTGAGCCATATCTGAATCTGTGGCCAAAGGGTGAGAGGCACACTGAGTCAGCCAGTCCCTCTAATATTAATTTCCTATAGATTCAAAACCCTGAGTCACTTAGTCTTAGAATTGGTGACCCACTTATAAAGTGGTGAAGACAATATGGAATATATATTTCCCTGTAGAAGGGAAGTAATTAATGTTTTTTCATTACTTTTGCAATGTTTTTAGCTTTTCTTGCATGCTGACAAAAACACAAATGTCATTTTTGTCATAGCATGAGCAGAGGGAGCACTGGGAACTAACAGGATATTAATTAAAGGACAAAGGGCAATGAAAGAGCATAGGGTAAGTCATCCTGCATTTATCAGGAAGAGGACAATCAAGCAGTGTTAAATGGAGACGTTTGCTTTTCATGTGATTATAAGATTGCTTAATCACAACGCTTAAAATTCTCTCCTTGTACAGATCTATATAGTTCTGCTACACTATTACTATACCAGTTCAGCACAATGAGAAAATATTTTGGATGTATGTAGTATGAGGAAAATATCAGAACCCTTGTACCACTCCACTAAAAATACTGTGCTGAATATATCACTGCATAGGAGTAGGAAGGTTTCTGAATGTTTTTTGTAGTAAAGAATCTGTTCTAATTCTTTTGTACTTCAACTACGTTTCCTTCCAACAGTGCCTGGAATAATAATGTGTTGGTTATTGAAGGAATTGTCTTAGTAAAGTGACACACTGAACTCAATTTACCATTACACAACTCTTTTATATAATGTATCTCAACAATAAGCAATATTCCAAGATAAGGCCAGTGCTCATTCCCACTCCAGGATTTTGCAAGTCCAAACTTCCACCATTGTAAAGTTACATCTAATCTCTGTCCATCAGAAATCACAGGATGAAATGTACAATCAGGACCAGTTCTTTGTTTTGAAATGCAATATTGTTTTTCAAAAAGTGAACTAAAAGATACAAAAACTAATAATGTTCACTGCTACAAGGCTCTTCTATTGGAGGTTCTCAAGCACTTTACTAGCATTAATTAAGCTTTGCAGTATCCCCATGGGGCCATGTCTACACAAGGAAACTATTTCAGAATAACTAAATTCAGTTTAGTAACTTCTGATTTTACAAATCGAAATAGCTTTTCCCCACTATGGAGAAGCCTCAAAATTAGTCCGAGGCAGGCTCCATTAATGTGGATGCTCTACCTTGACTTACAGCCCCAGGAAGCACTGGGAAGTAATTAGTTCTAATTACTCTGGGGAGTAGTTATTTTGAAATATTGGTTCCAGAGCACCCACACTAAGGTTATTTCGAAATTAGTGTTATTCCCTAAGAAAAGCAGGAATACAGATTTTGAAATAAGTGCTCATTATTTCAAAATAATGGGACTGGTAGTGTAGAGGGTCTACTTATAAACTGAATATAAGGGGGTGTTATTTGGAAATAATTCCCTAGAATAGACCAGGGCTGAGGTGAGTATTGTTAACCTCAGTTATACTCAGGGGCTATGTCTAGACTGCCTCTTCTTGTGCAAAAAAATATGCAAATGAGTCAAAGCGTGGAATATAGCCATGCCTCATTTGCATAATTAATGACGCTCCGTTTTTGCGCAAGACACTTTAGCGCAAAAAGGAGTTGTCTACACATCTCCTTTTTGCACAACCCCCCCTCTTGCACAAGAGCCGTTCTTCCTGAAAAAATGATGAAGAACGTCTCTTGAGCAAGAGGGGGGTTTTGCGCAAAAAGGAGCCGTCTACCCAGCTCCTTTTTGCGCAAAAGCCTCTTGTGCAAAAGCGGCTGCTAATTAATTATGCAAATGAAGCATAGCGATATTCCATGCCGCACTTCATTTCCATAAGTTTTTCCGGAAGAAGGCTACAGGGTAGTCATAGCTTGAGGGTAAATTAGAGCTAAAATAAAGCACAGGACACTCAGCGCCAGGACTGGTGGCTGTAAACAAACTTTATGGGACTGCAGGAAATCTGGCTACACCCATGATAAGTGACCATCTGGCTAACTAAAATCATGCTGGACTATGGCTGTTGCTGGAACAGAGAGTGCCAGACAAGAGAGGTTCAAGCAGAGGGATATATGGAGACGTGGCTGGAGGTCATCAATGTTATTTAAACAAAACAATAATACCTTGATACCATACATTAGTTAGGGCTCACTTCTGCACCAGCCTAACAGGTCTCTAGACAGAATAGGCAGGTACAGAGTTAACTCCAACTTCTGTATGACCTTTCACACACTCCTTACTTCCACATACTAATGAGCCAGATTTGGCTCTATGTGATTATAATCCATTGTAGTACAACAGTGTGATATCATCACAAATGTAATCATCAGCTCTTAATTCATCACTCTGACAATTATCCCTTTTTGCAGCATGTTTGTAATATGCATGCTTTTTTATATTTGCTCTGATTTGTTATATGAAAAGGAAGGGCATAAGATCAAGCCATAGAGAGACTATGAAACTTTTTTGTGGTTATTTGAGGGAGCAATGGTAAAAATGGCAGAGAGTAGGGAGAATATTTCTTCTCATTTAATCATTGGTCTGTTTGATAAGCAGCCCTCTGTTCCTTTTTAAAATAAACGGCATGCAGACAATCCTTTGTTACGTAAAACAGAGCACTCTGTTACTCCTCCAGCCATGTCACAGGTGCATGTTACCTTATTGGAGCAGTTGTGTTTTCCAGCTTCCACCAGGATTTTGGAGGATTCAGATATCGACACCACAGTTCCCAGTCAAACCCCTGCGCAGACAGGGGGTATTCCTCTATTTCAAAATTATCATATTTGATGTTATCAAACGATGGAGAAATGACTCTTTTTCTATTTTCCTTTATTCTCATGAGTACTGGTTCAGCCCTAAAAAAACAAATTCTGAGATTGTTTCAACAGAAGCAAAACATTTATGTCAAAAGTTGCCTACAAGCCATATTATCTGAAGGGCATGTGTTACTCATGCAAAATTCCCCTTGACTGAAGTGTGGGTTTTACTGAGAGAGGCTGCAGGATTTGGCAGTGTCACTTTAAATCTAGCATGCCACTGGATGCTATGTCTTCTTAGTCTGGTGATGGAAGAAATTAGACCTTTCTTTTCAGTTACCATTCACATGCTTGTTACCGCAGAAAGATAATGTCTCTGTATCATCTCTATGATCAAGGGCATCAAGCTGATCTGAGTTAATACCTTAAGTATCCCAGGGACAAAAATTTTTTTCCTTTTAAAAAAGCTATTTTTATGAAGAAGAAACAGTGAAACTAAGGATAGTTTGAACAACTATGGAACCACATGTGAGAAGGGACCAGTCACTGAAGTTCCTATTCCCCCTTCATTACCATTTCTCTGAATAAGCCTCAGCTATGAGTATAGTGCAGCCTCAAGGATACTCTATCCTTGATTTCTGGACCGCACCACCCAAGTCATTCAAAGTACATCAACAAAGATGTCCAAGTGAGTGGTGATAATGGTTCTGTGATGTGGTCACTCTTCACTAGGAATCAGGCTAAAACTAATTTCAGAGAAACCATTGAGCTGCTAGAGATACTAACATCCTTTGGTCATGATCAATGTAGACTGAATTGGAATCAATGGCCTAAAAGTGAAAGGTCTGAATCGTCCAGGCTTGCTTTGCCCTGATGTGAATTTTAGTTTCTAATTAAAATTATTCGATAAGGAGACCACCACAGCGTAAGAAGCACATCTGAGATAGAGCCAAGAAACTTAAGTAATTTCTCTGTATCTTGTAAAGCCAACTGCTGGCAGTTAAATATAAGCAGGACAAGTCATTCAGGGTATGTCTACACTGCCACCCTAGTTCGAACTAGGGTGGCTAAAGTAGGCATTCGAACTTGCAAATGAAGCCCGGGATATTTAAATCCCAGGCTTCATTTGCAAGTTCGAATGCCTACATTAGCCCCCCTAGTTCGAACTAGGGTGGCTAAAGTAGGCATTCGAACTTGCAAATGAAGCCCGGGATATTTAAATCCCAGGCTTCATTTGCAAGTTCGAATGCCTACATTAGCCCCCCTAGTTCGAACTAGGGTGGCTAAAGTAGGCATTCGAACTTGCAAATGAAGCCCGGGATATTTAAATCCCAGGCTTCATTTGCAAGTTCGAATGCCTACATTAGCCCCCCTAGTTCGAACTAGGGTGGCAGTGTAGACATACCCTCAGAAAGGAGTGCTCAGCTTAGCAGTTTATGCTACTTGCTATTCCTTTGCTGAAAATGAAAAATGTTTTCACATTCCGTGCACATGAACTGGAGTAAACTTTAGATGTTTCCTTACCCTCCCAACCCCAGCTACACCCCTTCTCCCACACACCTTGCCATCCAAACTGTAGGCGCTATGCGCTGAACAATTAACAAAGGGGTTAGTTCCAAAATATTGGTTTAGATGGGAGAATTGACTTGCTCAGGACCCAGTTTAGCAAGGTACTTTAGCAGATATAAAAGAAAGTGAGTTCATTGGGTTCTGTGGAACTATTTGAAAGCTTAAAGTTACATGTGCTTAAATATCTTGCTGAACTGAGGCTTCTGGCTGCTTTTGTTATATTGTTAACTAGAAGACTTATCAGGCGTTGCTCAAGTCCTTCAGAGTAGGAGATCAGAACAAGGTCTTTGGGATGCGGAGGGGTAGGGGTTATGACAGGAGGGGTAGGAGTCAGGGTTGGAGGTTGAGGAGGGGCAAAGAGGGTGGCAGCAGCAAGCAACTGCTCCCCGGAGCAGGGCGGGGCCACAGGTGCTGCCAGCCAGTGGCTGTTCGCTGAGGCACTTGAGGCTCACTTGTGGTCATTCGTGTCTCCATGCTTGCTGACTCCCTGTGGTCATGCGTTAGTACAACTGTTCCTGCTTTCATGCCCCCCCCCCTTCCATTTGATATAAAACAGTCCCATTCCACACACATCCCATTAACCTGACACAACCAAATCCTGCCCTTGCTTTAAGATACAATAAGTGGAAGCTGCATATCAGATTTAGTGGTTCTAGCTCTTACCATTTAGGAGGATTTCTTGAATAAATAGACAGATAGATGCACATTTCTAAAATATATTATAAGGTTATAGTGTCATGTGGACAGCATTTTTCTCAGTGCTCTTCTGGCATGTATAATTATTGTAAGCTTTTAACCCATTGGGGGGTTTTAAAGGGTTAGTTAAATGCAATGTTGAAGGCAAGGTGAAGAATATTCTGTGTTCTGATGAATCATATGTGGACTCATCCTGGGCAGTACTGAGAGGCCACAGCACCTCATCACATGAGCTCAACAACCCACAGAATCTGGCCCTAAATCTCATTAATATTTGTGTTGTCTCCTTAGTGCTGCATATACAAAATCAGGACCAAATTTGTTACATGACTGACTTGTTCCACTAAGCTTCTCTGTGCCAAGTGATTATGTCTCATCAATGCACTAGCTACTGACAAAAATAAAGTGAAAACAGACAAGAGCAGTAATATACTGTGCATATATAAAATTTTATACAGATTTTAACTGGAGACAATAAATCTCTAACTTGTTCTACTCGTGTAAGTTAGTAACATGTATTTACCAGAATCAATAACCCAGTACTAAAAACAGAATCTTGATTATGTGACAATGTTGCATATTACAAACAATACAGTTTTCATAATTATCTCTGTATTTAAATTTACGTCAAAAGATTTGTATATACCTCATCCCCTATAAACTGGATATATATCATGCTGTAATTTATGAATGGCAAGCAGAAAAGTTCCACCTACTCAGCTCATCAATAATTGCAAGAAGCAGCAAGGCACATACCATCCTACGTTGAATTCCACATGAGCATCAAAGAGAGCAACAACTGGCGCTGTGGCTGCTCTCCATCCACTTACTCGAGACCGGATCAGCCCCTCTTGCTTGCTGTGTCGGACCACCTTGATGAATCCAGGCTTCCGCATATTTACCTCATTGACATACTCCTTTAGTTTCTCCTTGAGTTCTTCTGTACATGGGGAAATAATAAAACATTAAGAACAATAAAATACATCTATTAAACTGTTAGGGAAAACATTGACAAGGGATAAAACTTCTGAAGTACAAGAGATAAGGGAGCACAGAAAGAAAACTATTCTGTGATGAAAACAACATACAACAAAACTCTGTTACACTGAATTGGTAGAGATAGTCTGTTGGGCATCAACTGAGATTAGAGGACAGGACAAAGCCACCAAGGGCATTTCTACATTAGGAAATAATTTCAAAATAAATTATTTCAAAATAATAACTCCCAGAATAACTATTTCAAAATAGCGTGTCCACACTACAGGGAAGCTTCGAAATTAGTCGGAGGCAGACTCCCCTAACATGGATGTGCTACCTTGATTTAGAGCCGCAGGAAGCACTGGGAAGTAATTATTTTGAATGACTCTAGGACAGGGGTGGGCAAAAGCCTCTCAGTGGGCTGCATCCAGCCAGCCTAGGGCTTTGATCCTGCCTGCATTGCTGTTGCAGGCTCTGCCCCCAGTGCATTATCTTTTAACTCTCTATTGCAAGGGCTCCCATGTGTCCAGCTCCCAGGCAATGCTATCAGTGGAGCAGGGAGCCTTTTCAACTCTCTATTGCAAGGATTCTTATGAGCCCTTTAAATAGAAGCAGTTGAAAGGGCTCTAGCACAGGGCTTCCTGTGAGCTGCATGCCGGCATGGCCACCCAGCCCTTTTCTAAGCCCACACAGAGGTTCAGAGCTCCACACTAGCACGGAGCTCAGGCTGGGAAAGAGGGGGGCAGACATTCACTTCCTCGTGGTAGAGGAGCAGAAGCAGCAGCAGCTGCCTGCTGTACTAGCTCCAGCCTCTACTGCGGTCCTTCCCCTTCCCTACCTCCTGGTGGGTCTGGGTCACAGGGGATTATGTGACCCAGATCGTGCTGAAGCTGCTGCTGAAGGAAAGGAGGGACCTTTGCTTCATTGCCTGCAACTAAACATGTGGGAAAAGCTGGGTAAGTTACAGGCCTCCCAGATCGGCTCAACTTTCCTGCCTCTTTCTCAAATCCTCCCCTGACCTAAGAAATGCTAACAATGCAGCAGCCTCCCCCCTTCCTGCTTCTCCCCTAGTCCTCCCTTGGGGGGTCTGGGATCCCCTGTGTTACACGTCCCCGCTGTGTGTGCCTATGCCACATTTGCATGATGACATTTCAAGCAAAGTTTAAAGAGGTATTAATAGCTTAAGATAAAGAAAAAGTTTATTTTAACAGAATTGTTTTATCTGTTGCAGGTATCTAAAACTCTGATCTTAATATGATTTGTTTTTAAAATCCTGTGTTACTAATTAATACATGGTAAATTGTATTACATTAAGGCCAGGTCTTTGCTATGTGGTAGAGTTCTGGCTCTTATGAGTCAGAAGTAACAAGTGATGCTGTTTTGTAGGATGAAACCTTCCTTACAAGCTCTTTGAAACATGCATCTGTCTGTTAGAAAGGCTGATGATACATTCACTGCACGGTCTCAGAGGGGTAGCCCTGTTAGTCTAACTAAAAAAACTTAAAAAACAACAATGGTCTTGTAGCACCTGAGGGTATGTCTACACTACAGCGCTAATTCGAACTAACTTAGTTCAAATTAGTTAATTCGAACTAAGCTAACTCGAACTAACGCATCTAGAACTAAAAACTAGTTCGAATTAGCGTTTTGCTAATTCGAACTAGCGCGTCCACATTAAGTGGACCCTGAAGTGGGGTTAAGGATGGCCTGAAGCGGGGTTAAGGATGGATCAGAGGAGGACTACACTACAGCGCTAATTCGAACTAACTTAGTTCAAATTAGTTAATTCGAACTAAGCTAACTCGAACTAACGCATCTAGAACTAAAAACTAGTTCGAATTAGCGTTTTGCTAATTCGAACTAGCGCGTCCACATTAAGTGGACCCTGAAGTGGGGTTAAGGATGGCCTGAAGCGGGGTTAAGGATGGATCAGAGGAGGAGGAGGACTCAGAGCGTGGAGATGCTGTCTCAGGCTAGCCGAGGGCTGTGCTTAAAGGGTCCCGACCCCCACCCCGGACAGACAGTTCTCAGGGGTGCCCTGCTTGCAAAGCAGTCCTGGCTTGGAGTGCCCTGAGTGCCCACACTGGGCACATCACAGCACTCGGCCATCAGCCCGGCTGCACTTGCCGCAGGCTGCCATCTGGGGAGAGGCGGCAATTGGGGGGCTGCAGGAGAGCTTCCACCCCCAGAAGCCCGCAGAGCCAGCCCAGTCCTCCCCATCGGGGGCTCGTGCCCCATTCCTCCCTCACCTCCTTCCACTTACCCTTCCCTAGCCCCTTTTCCTGATGTACAAAATAAAGA